TTGATAAAATTCGGAAGGGCAGGTAGAAAATGTTCGGTCCGTATAAATAATTTTGGTACGTTTTAGTACGTCAATTCCAGTTTGTGAGGATAAAATTATAATACGGTTTTTACTATTTTAATTGTCATACAATTAAAACGACTAAATTTTCTTTACCAGTCATACTGCAACATGTTCCTTCCAGTAAAATATAATTTATTTTCGAAATTTTTGGATAGATACGCCACAAACATCTTTTTATCGAATTTTCAATTTTAATAAATTGTGTGCTTCCATCTCATCAATTAATCACGCATTTCGTGCATAAATTCGAGATGGTAAATCATAATTTTCTTTTGCTATTTTCTTCAGAGTACATTTAGCTCTCTCTGCGTTAACAAAATCTGTATCACCTTTATGACAGTGAGTTCCAAATTTAAAACTGGCAATTATTTCTTCGTCTGTTGTAATTGTTCCATTACATATGTCTTTGTGAACACACATCCCCTGGATTCTCTAATTTTACTTTTGTTTGTTCATCGAGTTAAAAATGTTTGTAAATGTATTTATTTTTATTTATTTTTGTAATTAAACACTCCATATTTATACTATACACGCACCACGATATGAACAAAATATAACAGTGCGCAGTGAGTGTGTAGAATTGTAGAAATAGTAAGTATAAAAACATTTTATCGAATAGGCTTATTTTAATAACTTTTGATATACTAAATATTTTATACCCATCATTTAATGTATTTTTATAAATGCAGAATTTCAGCTTACAAACTTGTTTGGCTGTATAGCGCATGTAAAATATTTATTACTTATCTATTGCCCATACACCATATTAGACATTACAGAATTGTTCATAAAAAAATAAATGTATTAATTATTAGTAAAATAATGAACTTTGAAGAAATTCATAAACAATAATGATTTAAGAAACCTGAGAACCGAATGTCCTATAATATTGTTTCATGTTTCTAGAAAATGATATGTCATAATATGATAAAAATGTTTAAGAGAAAGTAATCGTAAATAATAATATTGTTATACCTAATCTAACCTAAGCTAACTATTGTTTTAATGTTTTGGCATAAACTTTGAATGGAAACTTTCACAGCTGTTACTAATACGTTGTAGATAGCAGTTACTGTGTCCAAATATTTAAGGGGAACATAGTGTCCTGTGAAATATAGTTTTCAATAATGTAATCCGTAAATTTCACAATCTGATCATTTTCAGTTTGTTGTATTGGCTAAAAGTCGTTTTTCGCAATATTCGTTATTATATACAACATCGCATCTGCCAAGTTCCCAAGCCCCAACTCACCTACTCCCAAAATATTATTGGGCCGGAATTCATCGATCTCCAACACTGGAAACGACATGTCGGGCCGTAACTCACCCACAGCCAGGTAATAACTCTCCGGGACGAAACGTCCGTTTACCACCTACTGTATGTAGTATTATATTGCTAGTAAATTTAGTGCAGTATTTTTTGTACCGCAGTGAGCCCTCTAAAGTATTTCATAATCAATAGTATAAGATACCTTCTGTAAACAATTTTTTTTTGTGACCATTTATAGAATATGTTATAAGTAATTTTTATCGAACCCGAAATACCCCAAACCCACCGCCCGCTGCTTAAAACCGAATAATATATATATAACAACACATACATTATATAAATAATAATAAATAGCTCTTCTCTACGCTCAGATGAATTATGTACCTATACATTTTTTTTCACAGCTATGGCCATTCATATTATAACCGTGTGGCAGAGGTTTATTCGTAAGAATGTATGAGATGTGTTCCTCTGACATCCGGGTTAGGGATTAACATATTGTATTATTATGTACAATATATTATATATAGGTATGCCGCACTGGGGCCATCACCTGTTTGAGCCAAAATATGTTTTTTCGGACATTCCTTTTGCGCCAAATTTACATGTGTATAAATTTTACATTAACGACTTTGTTAACTTCATATATTTTAAAGACACGATAAAAGTTTAAAATAAGCAAGGATATTAAATTAAATTTTTTTAAATTTTTTAAGATCATAATCAATAATACGAGTTTTTAAAAATAATATCAGTCATATTTATTTTTAAAAGCAACAATCAATAACCCAATAACGTATACATTTTTTTTAAATCATAGGTTACAATAATAATTAGTAGACAGTAGTGCACATTTTTTAAAATTATAAATTATAGTAAACTAATATATTTTTATATTATGTCTTCAACAGCCACCCGCTTCCATATCCTGTAGTTATATTTAGTCTTACATTAGTTTTGCTGGGCATATTGTATTCGGGCAACGCCACCGTTTAACATCTTAGAAGAAGTATACGCCAATATATACCTGACCATCGTCTTATGAACATTTTCACATAAGTAGGTACTACTTAATTATTGTAGCCCTGGTATATTTAAAAAAAACTTCAGTTATATGTTATATAGGGATTATAAAAAGTGAAACTCTCCGGTAAAAACTTTTTTTTTTGTTAAATGTAGAAAACATGTTGGGAATATCCTACTAAAATATCTTGTGTAACCTATAAAAAGAAAAACTTTTATGAATTCCTAATTGAAAAACAATTTGAAAATACTTGGAATTTTAATGAATTTTGTCGAAACTCGAAATTGAAATGCATATAATAATAACTGTGCCTTAGTACCTTTAATATTTTTGAATAAATATTAAAATAACTTATGAGGGACATTTTTCAGAAAATCACTGCTTCTAATCCTCTTAAATAATATTATACAAGGATATATTATGTTCCTTTATATTTTTATTAAATTTTTTCGGTAAGCATCGACGAATTTTGTTTTGCTTATATCTATTGTAAATATAACAGTACACATTTACACTTCTACATTTCTTTACAATCTTCATTCCATAAATCGATAACCAATATGTTACATACATACGTATTAACTTTTTCCTATGTCTAAGTGTATACCCAATACATACTATACAACAAAGACAAGTGTACACAATGTAGTATCTTCAACACAATACAAATTTAAAAACCCGATGTTACAATATTATAATCATTCACCATAAAACCACCACAGCTATACTCTCGATGAGAGGGCATTATTGGCATAGAATTATTATGTAAGTATTATTATATGGGACGTCATCGTCATTACTCATTATATATATTAAATACTTAGCAATAATATTATGCACAAGTCATGTTTATTATAACATCGCACAAAAACCCTTAGTGTAAAATACTTTGTAAGGAACTGGTAATCAGTTACTGTCATCATTAGGTACTATACATAGTGTAGAACAACAATAAACTATGTAAAATATCAGTATGATTTAAATTCAAGTCAAAAATCAAATATTAAAAAGATTACCTATGAAAAGCTAATTTATGGAAACAATTTTATTCTTCTATTTCTTTCTGTCTTATGAATATTCGTATTGTGTGCTACTTTCGGCACTCATTTTTATTTTTATTTTATTTAAAATCTGCCATATTATCCTGATTAAAAAAAAATAGCTTCAAATTAATTGATTTATGAGTATACAATTATTTTTCACTACAAAATATGTAAAAAAAAATTCTTTTATTTCCCAAAAAAATATCAATTCTCTATCTATGAATCAATATTGTCACTGAGTTTCATGATTTATATCAATGTATTAGACTTATTGTAAACACGAGTATTGAAAACTAGTATTAGATAAGAAGATTAGTACGCAGTTAGTCAACCCCCTTTTTTGGTATTTATTTTTACTATATGTAATGAATACAATTAAAAAATATTTTTATATTTATACATAGTGTAACTGAACGAATTGACAAATAAAAATAAAAAGTTGATACGAGTTAAACGTACGACAAAAATTATGAAAATTATATTAACAATAAATAATTTAAGAAATATGATTTATGTCAGGAAATTCCTAAAAATATTAATTGAAAAAAGTTTTTGCGTTTAAAATTAATCAAAATTTGTCTAAACATTTTTTTTATAGTTAGGATTTTTAGAATTCTTATTTTCAGTATTGAAAAATAAAAAATTAAAACATGTTCTGCTCTACTCTAAAATTACATATACAAAAAAAAAGGTTGAAGTATTGTTCAGAACAAAAATTATTAATTTGCCAGGCCTTTCGGTTACCTATTAAACTTTGTAATTGACAATAAAACTAATTTAAAAAATAAAAATAAGATTGGTATAGACTAGTCGTTTTTCGTTGTCAGTATGTGGTACCATAGAATTTTTAAAAAAATAAAATAAAATTTAATTTATCATTTATTGTTCAAATGTACAACAAAATCCAATGACTTTATGTTTGTAGTATATAGTCTCAAAAAATATTCGACCGATTTTGACGAACGTTTCAAGTATTGTTCTTATAGAAATGTGAGGAAAGTTTAAAGAGTAGTTTGAACTAAGTTCAATAATATACCAATAATACTAATGCTAAATATCAAATGAGTTCACAAAGCAAAACGTACCAGCACAGGGCTACTCAGATTACAATTAGCCCGTGAACTTAGGTAACTAAACCCGACACATAGCTTGGATATAGCTTCATATTTCATGCTTGTTTTTTAGGAGTGAAGTTGGACAGACAGCTAATATAATATAACTAACTAATATAATATCCCGAAAGTTCGTTTTCACACAGAATTATTTTTGATCATATGTATGATGACGGATCGTTGAATTTAAATTTAACACATCCATTACTGCGACCTACTTTTATCTTTAGTCAACAGAGCAACTTCCTCAGGTTTTTTTTTACCACGTTGTTTACGATGTTCCTATTATGTATTAATATGATAACGTAACCACATCTATTATAATAGTAGTATGATATTATAACAATAATATAAATTAAAAACATATTTTTATTCAATGATTATTTAAAAATACGTATAAATAAAAATAGTAATAAAAAAAATTGAGTACAAAAGTTAGCCAGCGGTAGGTACATACTACGTAATATACATGCGTACGTATAACTATTAATAAATTACATTAATAATTTTTCACAGTACTTCACACGCATACATAATGAATAATCAATGTTGTTGTAGTATGAATAAAAGAAAAATATTACTATTAATACTATTACAATGGTTTGTTATATAATGTAGAAAAATATATGTATTTATATTATATGTAGTGATTTATTTAACACTAGACACGTCTGGTAATATGTATTACGCAGGAGTCAAGCGTTTCAAAAACTTCACTCCAGTATACACATACATATACAAATACTTATATACCAAAAAAAAAAAATAATAATTATAATAATAATAAATATAAAAATAGTACGTACACACGGGACAAAGCTACATACAGACTAAACGTTACACACTATCATAATGATATTACAAATTACAATGTTCTAACGATGAAGACTGTGTGTGTGTGTGTGGTTGCATTGATGAGCGCCGACTTCAGTGGACACCGCTGTTATGTATAACATCATTCCAACCACCACCGTCATGCTTCAGTAACTGCGACGATTTAACCGTTCAACAGGTTCTGGACGGACCTCAATGCTGTGATCGGGATCTAAAAATATTAACGAAAACATTCCAAGTGAAATTTGTCTCAGCGGTAAATATTTCCTAAAGATAATAATAACGATAACGACGACAATGAGGATATTATTATTATATAATGTGATATATTGATATGAGAATATGATGTATGAGAATGATGATGATATTACAATTTCAGTAATTAAATGATGGCCATCACCATCACCGTATGAGTATTAATGTATTATACGTTTTCAGTCTTTATTTTAGGTACTGTTTATAAACTTATAAACCAAGTCGAGTTAAGTTATTATTATTATTATATTAGATTGTTAGAACCAAGTTAGGCGTGTGTGTGTGTACTACTACATCACCACCGTCACACACAACACGTACGTTGAATATTTCATCGTAATTTGTTTTTGTCTGTACCATCATTGAAGCGCCTTTTCCGTTTCCGGGGGCTCCAGCAGACTCGTGTCCGTAGTCAGAACCGACAGCCGCTGATGGAACTTTCTCAGAGTTGCCGTACGTGGCACTGCCAGATACAGCGGATGCGGAGGCGGAGGCAACACCGTTGTTCTGGTGGTGACCGTGAACCGCGACTCCTGTAGTATCAAAAAAGAAACAAATAACCACTATTATTTAATGTACCTATATTAATATAATGGTATATCCTATAGTCCTGTCGGTAGATAACAATAATACACACACGAGTGTATTGTACAAACATCTATTCATGTATTACTTTTATTATTGCAAATGTATATACCTGGTTGTCCTTGATGCATTTGCTTCTGGTTTAAGTACGTATTGACAGACTGTAAAACATTGATGGGAATCTAAACATAAAAAACACACAGTTAAGACAAACGATTTCTATAGCTTAATAATATATTAGATATTTTATAGGTACATGCGCTCGCGTACTGTTGTAATGTGATGCATATAAACAATATGCTATTATGTACGCAAAAAATGTTTCCGTTTTCATACACACATAAACAATATCTAATGAGTGCGTATACTGCGTTACGCTGTCATCGGTATTGGCACGTGCAGATAATCTTTAATGCCACTTTGTTCCTATCATAGTTTCGTACCTAGTAGGTAGCGTAGCCAGTGTGTTATTTTGGGATTTGACACATCCGCCTCACCCGTAATTATACAAAAAATATATGTACTATATCATTCGAATTTCTACAAAATATATTGGTCATATAACTATATCATATTTATCATTTGATATTAATAGTATGAAGATTGATAACTATAATGGAGTTTGTAAATAAGGCTCCCTCATTTTATATTTAAATATTAAATTAAAACACTGTCCCGAAAAAAATCAGGTTACGCTCCTGACTTGGAACAATATTTTATAGGTAAACTCACGGCGAAAATCCTGTCGAATAAGCCACCGCTACCGTTGCCGCCGATTCCAGTTCCAACTCCTCCTGCATAGTGTGGCCCTTCGGGTTTTCCACTGTTACCGTATCCTCCATTAGCTGGTTTCATTCCGGTCGACGCGAATTCGCTGCCGCCAATGAATCCAACACCGGCTCCGGCTCCGGCGCCCCCTGGACCGTATCCAGTACTGGCACCGAGGCCGTTTCCGCCGGCGGAAGCCATAGCACTTCCATCGTCAGCCAGAGAAGCAGCTGCGTGGAAACCGCCCCAAGACGCAGACACAGAGTCACCGTTCTTGGTAATGAACGATCCGGATTGAGCAATTTCCTGTAAATGAAAATATTTTTAATGATCTATATACATATATAATATGTTAAACTATATGGTATTACATAAATAATAATTAATAGATTCTAAATTTATGTATATATATACACTATTCAATATTCCTAATACATATTTAAATTATTGTTTTTTCTTTACAATTTAACTCAGTTGGAGTTGGACTTGCTTCATCCCCTTATTTGTTATAATATGTATATAATATGTACCATGTACATTTTATAAATAACCAGCAGTGTTGCATGTAAAATAAAACGGTTTGAAATAAATAGATAAGTACTTACAAGTTGAAGACACATTACTGCGTCATATGCTTTAAAATCCCCCCTCCACTAAAATAAATGTGTATTTAAACAGCGTTGATAATGACAGAAAAAATGAGTGGATATGATTGTGAATAAGAAGTGCGAGAGACTTTAACGGCTGTTTGTTAAGAATTTCATAACACGCACTTCATAATATAATAGTGTATTATTATTAATAATTATGAAGAAAAGAGATTTATGTCAATGGCCTCAATGTTACACCCTACTGACTTATTTCTATATACCAACTATTGATTATTATTGTATTATTGTTGTCAATGTGCAGCGTATTAGTACAATTAGTGATTGGTATACAGATGGATGCGAATTTCTCAACACTAAGTCAATCGGTTGAATGTGTGAGAATTGCGTGAGAAAAACCATACAAAGCGATTTAGTAACATCTAGTGTTGTTGAACGAGTGTGTGCGCGTGAGCGTGTATATTTATAATTATATGATAAGTACCTGGTGAACTTCCTTAAGTACGACGACGTGTAATGGGAAATCGCATGCAATAATGAAGACCACCACAACGACGCGACTATAATATTATTATAACTATAATATGCGAGCCTTGATGAAGAAATCGTTATAAAAACAATGTACGCGCTTAAAATTCATGTACATTTCGTGATACGCGTACGAACGGTTTAATAACATAATATTATGTGTGTATAAATTTAATAATATTTTCGTTGACTAATAAGCGTAATTATCTCGATCGACAGCCGGAACGACCGGTGTAGATATTTCGTACAGGTATCTATAATATCTATAATGTACATCAGTCCAATGTCCTTGTGCACAACTCAGCGGGATGACCTATGTGTCTACGTGTTGTTCACAAGGCCATTGTATCGGTGATGTAACTAGGAGGAATTACTGTGTCTGTAGTTCTGGACCACCTCCTCATCACTTAGGCACATTTTAATATTCATACCAACTAATAAATTTAAATGCTTTTACAATTATATTCAGGTAAAATATAAAAATAATATAGTTTAAACATCCAGGAAATCTTTTAGTTATGCACAACCGGGTAGCATCGTATTATTATTATAGTGTAAGATTAGTTCTACATCGGTTAAATTATTAAAGAATTTATACTAAGAAACTGCTAAAAAAATGTTTCTTCCACCCAGGAAAAGAAAACTTAATATGGCCGGACCTCATACATGTACAACACTACACGACACACGTCACAGCGTATATACGTGCATAAATGTATATTATGTCATATACGTTTGATATAAAATACGTGTACATCGCGAGATATGTGTCAGTAATGGTGGCTATATAGCAGTTTTCGTTTTTCATGATTTTTAATTTTAAACTTGATCGTCAGCCGTTACGTTCAAGTTACGTGCCCGAGCCCACATATTCGTTCGTATACGATTTTTAAAAAACCTGTCATAATATTAATATACACGCCACACGCGTATAATAACAATACTTAATACGCTGCTGTTTGGCTTACCTAGATGTAACAGTTTAACAGTGCATACTTGGTAGGGGCACTGTACCTAGGGATTACCTGCAGGGTGTATTGGTGACGTCCGAATGCTACTAAAATGTTTAGGAGACCATAGAGGGCATCGTATACTTTAACTTATCGAGATTTAAACCACAAATATTTTTTGAAACAGTCTAAAATAACTAATAACGGAGAAAAAATAAACCATTGATTGCAGGAGTTTGCTATTTTTGTTATAATTATTTGGGAAAATTAAGTGTAAGTACAGTCAAGTTAAATAAGTATACAGATAACATACAAGTACTCAACGTAAACAAATAAAATTAATGCGTTATACATATGTACTATTTATGTTCCAACATTACTCCGGAACGCCTGTGACAATTTCAAGTATACTTCGCATGTGTACTATAGTCTACTGATAAAACCTCACCTATTACTTGTGTACATCCAAAGAGGAAAATTAAAAATGATTAAGACATTACTCACGTTACTCAGTTCTGATTTGTCTTTATTGGGAGCAGCAAACGCTACACCAACAACCACGGCAATGGTCAACATTGACTTGAAATTATTGATATGAGACATCTTTGTAAAAGTAGTACCTAATTTTCTATAGATATTAACACTAGAAAAAAAATCGTCAAATATTAAATTTACATAATTATTAACTTTTATCATATAAAAATATTGTGGGTAGGTATTTAGTTAAAAAAAAAAAAAACTATTGAAGTAAATATTTAAACGTTCAGAAACTTACTGTTACTTAATTCTAAAAAAGGATTATATATTTATATGTAATAGCAATTATTATTAAAAAGCATTTAAAGTAAATATTTATTATTAATAATAAAATATTTAAAAACAATCATTGTAATTCTTCAAAAATTTAGTGAAAAAGAAAATATTGTTTTTATGTCACACTCAAAAAACGATTGAAGTATATACTGCGATATATAGATATAAGATGCACCCAAATTTGTCTATTGACACTGAACCTATTGTTTCGTATTATATTTTAAATCGATTAACAGATATAATAGGTATCATGATTTTTGTAAATTCCCAAAACTATAAAATTTTCTTCAAATCGAAACACGGAAATGGAATATTTTTTTTAAACGTGAATTTAATAATATAGTAAAATGCTAGTCATGGAGAGTAACACTCGAGAAACACTTGGACCATAGTAGATTGTAGTTGAGAAAAACTTACATGTTGTGTCTTAGAAAAAAATCTGTAGTCGACTTGAAACGGAGAGACTATTTTATATGTTCAGGAAACTTCTCTCCAGGAAAACCGTCTCAATCACCGTCGCTGCACTACCGCTACTGAACGCCGACGACGGTTCTGATGTGCGATCAGGTACGATTATGGACGGGACGACGGTGGCGCGCGGACGGCCTATCCGCACAGCGGTAAGAGGGACCAGCCACCGGCAGTGGGGATGACTGGGCTGTCGGGTGGGATGGGTAACCAAACTTAGACGACGGCGAGCGCCGTGTTTTTCCGCCGTGGCCAAGGTCAACGTTGGCACAAAGCCAGTGGATTTATCTTAAATTCTCAACCTCGCTAAGCCGTAATATTATTTATACATATATTATATTAGATGTAATTTTCTACGTATTAAATGATAAATATCTAAACAACATCAACAACAACAACAACAACAACTTCGTCGATCGCATTATTTGTATTGTACATAAAAACGTACGGCGACGGCAAGAAGCAACGACAGACGGGGAAGTGAAAAACCGGTATAAGTCCCGAGGCGAACAATTTGCAAAATTACTTATCGGGTATATATATATTATATATAATACCAGTATGAGTGTATGAGCGCACCCGTGCGAGTGCGTCATAAAGTGTACACATTATAAACATGTTATACATACGAATATATATTCTATATTTTATTATTATACGATTATGAGTACCTACGTAGTATGTGTGTACAATAATTGTTTTGATGTCGGTGGTTCGCGATAATGATAGGCGAGATCGGATAGTGACGAGGGGATGTCGAGGATGGCGATTAAAAATATTGAGGAAATGCGAGCGTTCGAATGCAAATACTTTATAATGTGTTTGAAAAGGTAGTCCAAACGAGGAAATCCTTATTACATAATATTATATTTCATTCGTTATGCACCTCGCGCACAGTTTACTGCCATATTGGTGCACACGTAATTTATATATTGTGACATGAAATAATGGTAATCACTAACAATATATATTAATCAAAAATTATTATGCTAAACATGTGATGTGGTCAACCGAATATGAATTTAAAAAAAAAAAGAAAACAGAGAAGTCGGTCTGCTGTATTAGGTTTTGAGTTTACCTTGTCATTGAATAGGCCACATTAATGGATTTTTTAAATTTGAATTGAATGATAAATCATTGTACCGAAAAACTATTGTGAGCGGAGAGTGGAGACAGTGAGTCAGCAGCCTATTCCTTTCTAGGGTATTTTATAGTTAATTTATATTAAGTTCCCTACTATTAGTAGTTTATTTTTCTATTATATTAATAAGGTGTGTTAGACTAATTTTCAACAAAAACATCGAACAGCTTTAACATCGCATTAACAAGTCATTATCGCCCGTGTTTCGTTAAACGGTGTGAATAGGTTCATGGTTAAATATAAATAATAGCTTAAAGTGTGTCTAAATGTTTTGAAATATAAATTATTGTGTATAGAGAATTATAATTTGAGTAATAGTAGAAGGATATTCTCGTCCTATGATGTCATATGCGGTCAACCACAGGTTTCTTATATATTTAAGAGGAAGCCATATTTTTTTTCTCTCAGACAACATAGATAAAATGCTTTCACCAAAAATCATTTTCTTTATGACTTTTGAGTAATCTTAGAGTGCAATCACCCGTTACAAAATTATAATAGATAAAATTTTTAAAGGTATAACATATCTGTTTTATATTTGATTATTATTTAACTTTGTATTTGACTTTAAAAATAAAATTTTTTTTTGTATATTCAAATATTGTTTATATTATTTTGAGGCAATAATTAGACAAATCGATTGTACCTCAAAAATATTATTCACTTGGGATTTTTTTCTAAGATTACTCAAAAAAATAAAAATAAATGATTCTAGTATTCTACCTAAATGCGCTTTGTATATTATGTTGCTCGTGGACTAGAGAGAGAAAAACAAATAGTCAGCCTACATCCTCTGAATTAAAAATCATTAAATACATAAATGTAGAAGTAATAATATGTATTAAATTATTTAATAAAAAAACTAATATACATGTATAGGTACTTTATATACAATATAAATCCAATGGCAACTACATTTGAAGTGCAATCCTTCATTAAAAAATTATGTTATATGGCTTTATGGTAAACTTTTGTTTTTAATTCTGCAGTAAAAAAATACCTAAATATTAAAATTAAAAATTGTATGAATTTTGAATTACAAAATACTTTGCATATTTTAGTGGCTTTGTTGAATTTTGTTTAAGTAATATGATTATGAATAAAATATATAATATAAATATTACAAAAACATCTTTATTTATAGTTTAAACAACTAATTTGGTCAATACTTTTACTTAAAATATCAAAAAACAAAGTTTTTTGACCTTAGCTATATCTTTGAATATTTTAATTTATGAATGAAAAACGTATGAGGGACAGTTATGATTTATGAAGTATTCGATTTTAGAGCTTTTTTATTCAGAAACAAAAATGTTATCATACATAAATTGAAAAAAAAAACAAAAAATTGTAAATTTTAAATATTTATACATAGCAGGAAAAGAGAAGTAAAAAATGTGAAAATTATACCATGTCTAGAAATAGCTAACATAGATAATTATTCGGTAAAAATGTTTGTGGTTATTCCTAAATCTAAAACATAATTTTAATTGCAAAAAAACAAAAATCATAATCTATTTAGTTGAAAATTGTTGGAAATAATCACGTCTTTCCGTGTTTTTTTTTGTTTCTCCCGATTACCTTGAAAATAACTGAGAATTAAATTATCAACTAGATGCAATTTTCATAAGCTATCATCAAAGTTGAACATAAGCAACTTTTATTATTCCTAACGTTGACGTCAAACGAATAAACCACACACACTAAATGATAGCAAAACAATACCGACTACCTTTAAAATCTAAAAACCAGAGATACCATCGGCATACTGTATTCTTATACCTTAAAAAATATGACGTAAATAATAAATAGCTAAAAATAGCCAATATTTTGAATGTTGATTTCTTAATAAATAATTATATTTTGTTATTAATTGTTTCGATGACGTGATATTAAATGCTCGAGGTGGTGATGTCTTCACTCGTAGACTCATACTCGTGCCCCATGGGGAAATTCCACTTTACGCACTAATGCTTAGCTTCGGCGTCTACGTATATGCCTAACTACATTAAACACTTTAAATACTATAATGCTACAGTTGAATTTATAATACATTAACCACTTAATGAGGATATGAAATCAACCATGATGAAATGTCTGTGAAATTCGAAATTTAAAAGTACAGGTGTTAATTTTGGTTTAATTATGTTTTCTGTATGGGAATTTTTATTTATTTGCAATATTATAATCTGTAATAATTGTTAGTTTAAGATTAAAAGTAATTTCCATCACCACCTCCATCCGCCCTTCCCACCCAACACCGGAACTTTGCTTCTTTACCAATACAAATGTATTAAATCCTCCAAGAGGTTAATAGTTGACTTACTGTTACGGTGTGACAGTTTTGGCTTATTCAGATAACACGCATATTGTTAGGTAATTTAGTCACTCATTATCCCTTTACAATACATATAATCAATGTTTAAGTATATAATTATAAATATGGCCTTAGGGCGTTTGCGCATCGATAACTATAACGAATGACTTTTTTTTATGGTCCATATGAGCGCAACTATTGTTATATGAAAAAAATAAAAATAAATTGTGATTAGTTTATTTTTCTAGATCAGTGGTCGGAAATCTTTTTGGACTCCTGCGCCACATTCATAAATTAATAAGAATTCGCGGGCCAGACAAAAATAAAAATTGTGTATTCCAAATTATTAATCAAGAAAAAAATAACTGTTTAAAACGTTAAAATAATATAACACAAAAATTACAGTTTTTAATAACATAATTATAATATAAAAGTATGAAAATTACAACTGCTTAATAGGCTTAATGTGATTTTTGTTGTTGGATATTGTTTATTATTTTTTCAATTTCCACATTAAAATTACTTGTGCTGGTTCTAAGTACATGGTGGAGATGGTCATCAGTTAACCCTTTTGCGTGAACGGTATGGGTTTTTAATTTTTTTCATATGAGAAAAGGCCTGTTCACACACGTAAGTGGATCCAAACATAGATACTGATGTATTTTGCAACTGTATTTTTAATTTTTGAAAATGATGCAGGAAGTTCAGCGAAAAAAAGTAAAGGCGATGTTTTGAATGCGTCTTTTACGATTTCTCGTGACTGCAAATCTATTATTTCCATTTGAAGCTCAACACCAAAATGTTCAACATCAATATTAAAGGGATTGGCGTCTGGCGAGTAGTTAAAAATATTTTGAATGTCGTTTGAAATCTTGAAATCGATTATTAAATTCTTGTTGAAGTATCGAAATAGCTTCAACAAATTTAATTGATGACTGATAGAAACGTTCAACTAAATGTATACAATATGATTTTTTTGATATGATATTCAATTAAATTTCGTTGTAGAATTTAAAGCGGATCGTATACAATAGACGCCGGTTGCCGACTACTGGTCTAAATTGGTCAAATTTCAACATGTTCTATTGCAGTACAGTACATATCCAAATATTTTTGTGTTCATTTTTGTTTTGGAAACTATTCAATGAAATACTTAAATAAAACTAAGAAGTTGGTACCTCCCACTCACTGAAATAATTGTAGGAGACTCAGACACATTCATTAAACAGCTGATATATAATGGCATATTAAGAAGGAAACCAAATTAATAAGATCGAAAGAAAAATATGACAAACATTTAAAAAAATATAATTTATTTTTCATGATATGAATGAAATGGAATGTACAATTTTATATTTTATATTTTTAATTATTTATTCACTATTCAGTATTCACCCATATAAACTTGGGCTGATATAAATATTGACCCAAAACAATTTTGGGCCCAAATTAGGAAGACATCTGTACCACGAAACACAAGTAGTACCTAGCTACCCACAAATATTGAATAAGTAACTTTGAGTAGAATGCTTTTTTATTGTACAGCAAAATATTGGAAGAAAATTCTTTACTATAAAATGTATTTTTCTTAATTTTTCATAAGCATATATAAATTACTTTATTATTCTATTACCTACAGT